ATGTATCAGTCATTTAATTTTGAATATGAACACGAGAATATAAATGAATTATAGTTCTAGAGATTAGTCACGTCTGTGTTTTACAGTCTTTATTTCATACTTCGTATATATTAATTACTATCAAAATAGTATAAATCTATTAAGAACACACATGAAAAATATTAGTACATATTCATACATACAATCTTCCAGCTATAATAAGTTATCTTAAAATATTTAATTACTAAAGTTCGGTGAAAAATAACATTTATTATAAAATATGTAAGCCATAATTAAAAATCAATACATATTTACAGTAGAACTTTGAAAACAACAAGTACTGAACATTATGTACTTGCAGTTCACTGGCAGCTTCTTTATATTGTCAAATATTTAAGTAATAAATAAATAGAATTTTTATACGGTTGATATAAACATTTACAAGGAAAACTCAAAGGAAGACCTATGATATTAAATTACCTTAATAAATATTATTTACTGTAATAGTTGCTACTAATTTCTAAAATAATAGTCAATATTTAAGTTACCAGAGAAACGTTGAAATATTAATTCGACTTTGATATGTTTCCTGGACACTTGAATTGTGGCAGCTCTTTAAATATTTTGTACATATTATCTTGTTAAAATGTATTATGAAAGTATATACTTGAATTTCTCATTACAGACAGTAATAAAGAAGCTCTTATCTTCATCAGCTTTCTTCTTCTTGAACATATTTTGTAACAGAATTGTAATGTGCACCCAATTCATACATGTGACGGTGAAAAGTAACTGTTATTTTTTTGCCATTAGTGTAACTTTCTCCAACAACGTATGGTGCACCCGATGCTTGGATTACTTCAATTGGACATTTCAATACATGTGAAAGAACTTGTAACTATTTTACACAAAAGTGATTATGTCAGTATTAATCCTAAGAACTTTACTATATGTGTCTATATATACCAACCAACCTCAACTGCACCACCCCACGCACTTGTATCAGCCACATCATTACAATATCTTTCATATTGTTCTGGTGAAAGAAGATCATCAGACTCTGGATTAGAAATGAATGGTAAAAATTCATTCATATTTTTTCTCAAATATATAGCAGTTTTTAGTCTTAACTCATGAAAACTCAATGGTGCTTCTCCCACAATCTTTAGTTGATGTGCAATAGCATTGTACAAACTATAATAATATAAAATCATTAGTATTTAGAACTAAAGAAAGATCAGTTACAAGCAAATGTCTTACCAGTGGCCATCACTTGGGATTTCATAGATCATTAGACTCCGCTCATAAAGAATTTTCTTTATGGTTTGTAATTCTGTATTTCTTTTACCAAATACATTCAGAGCTTCCTGTTCTATTATTCTTTGATTACGTTCTTTTTCTGCATTTGCTTTTTTATCTCTTCTTTTCTGTGCCTTTGAGATTCTGTGTGTTGATTGCTCACTATGTTTCTCATCTATTTCTCGGTTACTATTATTTTCTGTTTCTTCATCTCCTGTATTATTAATATTCAGATGCGTCACTTTCCATCTAATTAATTCGTCTTCTTGCTTTTTTTCTAAAGCTCCTTCCAATTGACTTATTTCCTCAGTGATCTCTTTCTTCTTCTTTTTATCACCCTTACAAATTGATTTTTTCAAATTTTGTATTTGTGCTAAGATTTAAAATGTCAACATTAAATAAGTTTATATCGCTAAAGATGTGTTATGTACAACTTATATATAATAGAACACTGGTAAAAGCAAATTATGTATAAAAGCAATATTGGGAGCAATATATTTTATAAATGCAGCAACATAAATTAAATTAAAGATACAAGAGTCAAAAACTATTTCATAATTACCTTGCAGTTCTTTCCGTTCTTTTTTGTGTTTTTGTGTAATTTCTTCTTGCGTTAACATTAACTCAGTCATTTTGAGTTTAGAGATTACTTAAGCAGACATTTATTTTAAGGTTAAGAATAAGGGTATCGGGCATGATGGTCAGCGAGTAATGTTCCACTGCATTTTCATGAATCAATTCCCACTTTCGATGTGATATAGTACACAGTACTGCCTCCTCATCGCAAATAATTTCTACCTCTTCTTTCCGAGCGCTCTTATCCCCACTATTTTAATGCGCATCAGTTCCGCGCAGTTCGTTTAGAAAGAGAATGGGAGATGATAGAGAGAGAGACAGAACGAAACCAGCGGATTCTATGTGTAGTGTCCCCACGGACAACAAATCTAGGCCGTTTCTCTTTACCGTGCTTGCGGTCTCACTCTTTTCGCGCATCCGTACTCCTAACGCTTCATTTGAAACACTTAGCGCGATATTCGACTTATACTTTTCGCCCGATAGGATTCTTAACCACACAGTCCAGCGTATTTGCAAACGTTTTGAAACGACGACCATTTCTACTAGACGTTTTGGAATTGTTTCACATAGTTTTTTAATCTTTTTTGGCGGTAAATTGTTCCAATCTTCAATAATTCTTAACTCATTCTCCAAAACTCTGAGTTTGAGAATTTTTTGTAGATAATTACTAAATTAAACATGTAGTCTTTCTAAAAGAGTTTTTCAAATTTTTAAAAGTAAAAATCGTATAAAATTGCGAAATTATTCGTTGCTCCTTCTCATAAGGTAGAATATTGATTGCTGTCTGTCACAATTGGCAAGTATTGGGATGGCAAAATTTAACAAAATTTTGTAAAAGTAAAAAGTATTTATAATAGCAGAAAGTATTATCTATAATGAAGCTTACGGGTTTTCGAAAATTTTAATAATTGTAGAAACGGTCGTCGTTTCAAGACGTTCGCAAATACGCAATATACACATCGAGAATCCTACGGGGCGAAAAGTACAAGTCGAATATAACCACAAGTGTTTCAAATGAAGCACCAAGCAAACGGATGCGCAAATAGAGTGAGATCGCAAGCATGATAAAATGAGACAAGCTATATTGGTCGTCGGTGTGATTTGTTTCGCTTGTTTGTGCTCATGTCGTGCTCTCTTGATCACTCGCCATTTTCTCTCTTTGTCTAAGGACAAACTGCTTACCTGTGAAGCGTTAACCAATCAGAGAAAAGCAGTATCTGTACCTACCCTCATATTTCTGGACGCTTTGCCCGTGACACCGCTTACACAACTTAGAATGCCGAGGCAGCACTGTATTAGTCTCTACTTATGACTAAAGCCGAATATCTAAGAATTATTGACTGTTTCTTAAAAAACGGTTACATTATTTTAATGTATATAAAATTGATGAACTAAATATTCTGAACATTTTCAGTTTGTCTTTCATATCTTTATAGAATGTATCTGATTACATAATTATCTGAAACGATTATTGTATTCTGAACGATGCATGTAGATGGAATAATGTAGCTATCGATCTCATAGAAACGTGATTAAAGAGGCTATTCATCAATACATACATACGCTTTACATGTATCTACGTCGCCTCGAAAATCGCACTTATTGTATGTGTTTATGTAACTTACTATATAGACATTTAGTCGTAAAGTGCTCTGACAACAGCAAGTTTAGTGAATGTTTTAATTGCTTACTTAATTATTAAATAATAAAAATGGCAACAGATGAAAATTCTTGGAGAACCCAAAGTTTTCGACAAAGTGTAATAGCAAAAATGTAAGTTCAGTTCGATTCGGAACTCTTAAACGATGAAATATCTTGATTAACATAATTCTAATAGTGTGTGATAAAGAATAGAGAAAGAAATAAGTTCTACAGCGTACGATTTTTCTACGTAATCAAGAATCGTATATATGCAGAAATAAACAAATTCATATCTTTACTAAATATTTTCTACACAGAGATGAAGCAGTACAGATGTCTGGGATGCCCATTTCAAGAAATAGTATTGATATAGAAAATCATGTTTTTCAAAAGGCAAAAATCAAGGTTTGTTATAATTTTCTAACCTTTTTCAAACATCATTAAATTGTTAATATTTCATTTAGTTTTGTGCATATAATTACTCATAACTACTGCATAGTGACAAGTGCAAAATTTGTATCTTCAATTTATTTGAAACATTAAAATAATTAATTATTGTACAATTTTTGATTGCAGGAAGAATATTTAGGTTTTATAGACAAGCTGATTCTACATGTCAGAGAACTAAGTAAGATATATACATATATACACACACATATATATATGTATGAAATATATGAAATTTATTTAACATATTACTATTATTTTTATTAGATTCTAAGAAGGGCGCAGGAGCTACGGCACCAGGTGCAGCAGGTTCTGGAAATCAAGGAATGCCAGATCCAATTGGAGCATTGCAAACATTAGCACGTCAAGGTACTGGTAATAATCAAATGATGAACATTAGTGGACCAGGACCTAATCCTCAAGGAATAATTCCACAACCACCTGCAAATACAGCTACAAACTGTGAGTATACGCAATGCAGAAACATATATATAGACTTTTTAGTATTCTTTTACTAGTTAAGTTGTTTGATAGGTAGAAAAATGATATTTATGACAGACTATACAATCTTACAACTTACACTCGCGTCGTATTTATGTTGACATGTAAGACTCTATTATGAATGATTAAAAATAAAGTTAATGACAAGTGTAAGAGCTTATTTATTATGTAGCTGTGTTTATTGAAGTTTAACAAATAGATGAAGAAGTTTAACAAACTAATTCCTGTTCAATACAGATACAAAATTTTGTAAAGAAGTAAAATATTTAATATAATATACATGTTTAATAGTGTAAATATTTAATACAATATAATATAGATGGAAAGTATGTTGTATATTACATAAGTATGCAATACTATATGTATAAGTGTATATATTTGTGTGTATATATGTATAAGTGTATATATGTATACATATGTATATATGTATATATGTAAAGTGTATATATGTATAAGTGTATATATGTATATACT